ATATAATATATTATTTATACAGAATAAATAATTTAGACTTTTAAATATTAAATAAATAAATTTTGTTATTTAACAATACAATGCAATATTAAATTGTTAATAAATGCAACACGTTTATAATTTAAGTATATCTAAAAAATACTTAAGTATTTAACCTTTTCATTATATTATTTGTTACAAAAGGTAAATTGGACACACCTCTTTAGGCACTTTGCGGTATTATGAAAAACTATATTAAATGTATATTGTAGATATTTATTCGACATTTTCGATAGTATTTATATTTTGTGATATTTGTTCTTCATTTGCATTTTTTCTGATAAGTTTCCATCCTGCTGCAGCTTCTAATGCTGTAGCTGCAAGTTCTTTTATCTTTTTATTTTCCACTGTATCACTCTTTGTTAAAGCCATTAGAATTTCCATTACATCTGTTTCAATTAGTCTGGTTGCAACTTCTTTTGTACTTTTTATCATATTTAAAACAATTATAATTCCTCTATGTTGTAAGTCAGAATTTGGATTAGCAAGTAAATAGTGTAATGATTCCAACCAATCCTTTGAATCAAATATTTTAATACAAGATTTTACGCTAACTGATGTTAACATTGCTAAAGCTCCTGCTGCTGCCATACTTGTATCTATATCCTCATCTTCACAAAGGATGACCAGGTATTTAACTCTATCGTTTTCTTGTTCATAGTACTTTATAGTATCTTCACACATTATTAAATTGTTTATAACTTGTGTAGATGCCCGTTTCAGCATTTCATGATCTTCATACATGTAAGCTTCAATTTTTTGGAAGCCTCCTTCTTTCAAAATTCGTTTTCTAATACTATCGTTCATACCGGCTAAGTTGCATAAAGCCATTAAAGCTTCAAAGTTTTCAAGTGCAGAACAGTCTGGATTTAAAAGATTTATAAATGGCCGAACTACTTCCATTATTCTTTGTCCAGGAAACGCAACTTCTGGATGTATTGAAATGCCTAAACGCGCAAGAGCTTGTGATGCTTGTTTCTTTCCTTTATCTGTTCCATCTAAAGCTAATGGTAAAAGTGCTTTTGCTCCACCTTGTTGAACAACAATTCCTCGTACATCTGGTTGACTACAAATTGCATTGAAGACACGCGCTATTAGTTCTTTACTATTTTGGCTTTCTGTTTTAGAGAGTGCAACTAATGCGCTTGTTATACCAGCTTTAGCTAGAGCAATTATTCTTTTGTTTACAAAATCTACATCATCAAGTTCATGTTCTTCTGGTATATGATGTTTTGCAAATTTCGCCAATTCAATCATTTCTGGTATAAGTTCTTGTTTGTCGTAAGCATTACATAAATTTACTAATGTAGTAACAACACCATAAATAACAGATTGATCTCCAGTTTTAGCAAGTTCTATCATTGCTTGAATTGCTTCACCATCTTCAATTAATTTTTCTTTTACTTCAGCATCAAAAGTAAGATATGACAAACCTTCTACAGCCCATTTTCTCATATCCTTTTGTTTTTTAGGATTAATTAAGAATCTTCTACAAGCTTCAGCTAATTTCTTTGTTGCTCCATCAGCAAATGGCCTTATTGTGGCATCTGAACCACCTGAACTACCTAATTTACACAATCCTACTAAAGCACGCACTTTAATGGAATCATCTTTAGATTGATACAATTTCTTCAATATATCCACGCCTTGATTAATAATTGCAGTAGCTTTGTCTTTTTTAGATGCAGCAGCAACAATACATTCACAGGCAACTTTTTGTTGCAATATATCATCTGTACCTGCCATAACAAGTATCATTTCTAAAATACCTTCTTTAGCAATTACTGTATTTCCAACATCCAATGGACCAAGTAACAAAGTTGTTATTGCAACTACAACGCGAACCTGTTAAAAAAAATAAGATAAATAAATATGTTTTATAATACAATTTTTATCACAGATTAAAGAAAGAATATACTACTTACTTTGGATTCTAAATCTGGTGAAAGTAATTTATCCTTAATAAATTCATCAATAGCATTTCTAAACTTCTCTTTTGCTGCATCATAGTACATATTTTCATAAATTCTTGCCAGACACACACTTGTTACAGTTCTAGTAGATGGTGTAATATTCATTGCAGATTCATACTTATATTCTTCAAGTTCACTTGCTACTTCCATTAAACGTTGTAAACCATGAAGTTCAACTAATCGTTCTGCCCAATTTAATGCAGTGTAATGAATGTTGCGCATAATAAGTTCTATAATTGCATCTCTAGCTAATCCAGAAATTGTTCTGTTTGTAACACTGTACAATAAACAAGATAAAATAGTATCAATCTCCTTATTGTGTTTATCACATAATTCCTTGTTTGGTTTAGAGTCTGGTTTGTTATCCATTCCACTATATGTATTAAGTACAGTCTGTAACAAAGTTTTAGGTTTTAATGTTTATTTTAATATTAGCAAAAATAATTTTCCATAATTATTAAATTTACTAACCTGTAAGTAATACTGAGCAGCATTTACTCTTTCTGTAATTTGACTATTAATCATTTCTAAACACCAAGGTATACCAATATTCTTCAAAACACTTTCAGTTCGACTAATATTATCTTTACATAATTCTGCAATGATTCTAATAGCAATTGTTATTATTTCTTCATTTTTCTCAAGCTTAAGTGTTTGTGTTATTTTGTTAATAATTCCATCATTATACATTATTTCTGCTCCTGCTCTTTCCCGAGCAAGAACAAGTAAATTATTCATTGCTGTTTCTCGCTTTTCATTAGTTCCTTTCAAGTCAAATGCTATATCCATCATTTGTGATACCTTTTAAAAGAATATTATTGCATATGGAATTACAACTATATAAAAAAATATTTTTACAATTTTTAAGATACTATATATTCTTAAATTTTAATGTACATTTCATAATTAATCAATTATATCATGTAATTTTTGTTGATATACAAACCTTGGCACTGATACGATTATTCTGTTTATACCTTTCTTGTACAATTTCATGCAGCCTTGCAGCAATAGGTTGAATTGCTTTATTACCAGGATCTACAGATAAAATATATCTTGCATCACGGTAGGCTTCTTCAAATCTTTCTAATGCTTCTAATGCTTGACACCTTCGAAATAATGCTTTTGGATCATTTGGACATATTTTAAGAGCTTCATCACAATCTGCAATTGCTTTGTTATATTCTTCTCGTTTCAAATATGTAGCAGCACGATTCTTATAATATATGGATTTTTGAGAATTATCTTCATTTGTAAGTTTTAGTGCATTTGTATAACAACTTAAAGCTTCTGACCAATTTCCTTTATTGAATTCCTCATTGCCTTTTTCTTTCCATTCAAGTGCAGTTAAGTTTATTATTTCCATTATGTTGGAAAATCTTTTAACTGAAAAATTGTTACTTATAAGTTACATTAAAAAGATGTTTATTGCATACAATACATACACTTTTTAATTGTAACATTAAATTATTTAAATAAATTAAACTACGTCAACTTGTCCATAATTGTATAAAACTTAAACAAATAAAGCTCAATAACATATAATTATAATATTAAAAGATTATGAATAATGTTAATAATTTTATAACATAATACGTACTACAAAACAAATATTATATAAACTTCGTTAGAATATCACAGATACACTTGCTGAAATCTTGATGATCGATCTCTCTTCCGAAAGCTTACAATGTTATACTGAGGCTGATACTGCTACCGGTGTTATGTTAAAAAAGAGATAGAACTGTCCAGACGTTACTAGACTGTTACACGTTTATTTTAAGCTGCATTCGTCTCTCAGAGGGAATGAAAGTATAAGCATCGGATTAAAATAAGTTTTGTATTCGTTAGTAGAGTTATATTGTCTATATTCTAACCATACTAATTTAATTTTTTCACTATTCTTTACTAAATATCCAACTAAAATATATTTATTCATAATGAGTCATTATTGTGTATTTACATTACTTCATATTTTTTATATTAGAATTACGCTATACTTTACATATTGGTTCTATGAATATAATTCAAATGAAGGGTTTAAAAAATACATGTAACGTATATATAATTATGGATATTCATACAAATATTGGCGCGATTTTCAAATGTCTTGAATAGTAACAATGTGATAAAATATTAATACTTACGTTTATCATACACATTAAAGAGTTAATATTTTGGACGAAAATTTCAAATTGTATTGTGTTATATGGTAATATATAAAGGGAAAAGAAAATACAAATATTGAAAAAAGTATTTTATTTATTTTACGTTCTTTATTACATTACATTCTCCACATGGCAGTTGTATTGCAGCAACATACAATGATTTTAAATTCTTGTTTCTAATTTTTTCATTATGATGTATAAGTTTATAATTTTCCATTAGATATTTTTCATTCATGAATTAAGATTACTATTAATTTCGAAGTTATGAGCGAAATTTGAAATTTAATTTTATATTATATCGCTAATTATAACATTATTTATAATAGAAGTATACATGTAGGAAAAAATATACACATACACATAATTAAACAAATTTGATATAACAATTGAACTAATTTGTAATTACAATTGCAATAATTATCTATTTTATTATTACTCGACAAAATTTATTTATGAAATAAAATTCAGAACCGCAATGTATGTTCAAATACTTTGCCAATTGATAAAAATTAACAATTGATTGAACTAAATTATAATACAAATTATTTGAATAATCACCACACATTAATCCATTTAAGTCGTCGCAAAAATTTTTACGATATAAGGTATATTTTGAAGAAATGCTCTTATGATCTTTTTAATTGAAAAATAAGACCTAAATAAAATATTATCTGCATTCAGCTGTTATGAAAACATTTTTAGAGTTTTATTTAAAATTTTGTGTCTAATGAAGAAAAGATATTATATTATCTAAATCAGTATTTTAAAAAAAATTTAATTCCAATATTTCGTAAATGTTACATTACTTTAATAAGGAATTCGATATTCTAATGTACATCAATATTTATGGCATTTATAGGAATTATTTAATGTTGTCTAAGTAATACGTACCAATGTGTTCTATTGTATTTCAGATATTAAACATTGTAATAGCACTTACATACTATACATGTTATTTTATTTATGAACCTACGTAATAATATTCGTGATTACTAAATATTTTGCAGTAACAGTTATATATGTGTCTAAATTTTGTAAACATTTTTATGAAATATATTTAAATGCTGTAAAGAATTTTGAATATATGTTCATGAATAAATTTATATGTAATTTTATAACATCTGATTTATAATAAATCAAAATACGTGAAACATAACACTATCATATTTATTAATTTATGAAAATGAGTTATGAAAATAAGATAGAAAAATGATTTCTGTTCATACAAAATTTTGTTAATTAGGGAATATTGTATTCTTCTATATTTCCTATTTCATACTCGAAATTATATTTTATAAATTGCACAAGTAAATCTTATATCAAAATAGTTTTATTTTTAATCACATGAGTTTCTGCGACAAACCCTGGATCAGCAATGAATGGTGATAAGTAATTGAGAATGGTCTAGAAAATTTCTAAGCAGAGTCTGTTTAGAACATAGTGTAAAATCATATTAAGATAAGCTACTTACATTATTATTGATTAATAAAAAACATAGTACGAATGATGATAACTGAAATGTTGCGAGGTTATGATAGAAACAGAAATTTTGTTATTAACAAAATATGATGACAGAAGAGGTGAGTTCTTTTTATTTCAGTAGACTACTATTATTGAATGTTTCAGCTGCCTCTAGCTTCCGTTGATGATGCCTCTTCACCTCGCTGCATTTTTAGCCACTCAACAAATTCATCAAGCATTACTGGCCCTGTAAAAACAATGCATGTAGTAAGTGTATGCAATTGAAGAAATATTTACTAATGGTGTTATAAAATTACGTACATGCTCCGTCTAAATCATAATTGGATAAATCGTGATTAATTGTACGAGAAAATTCTAAAATGTTGCACCATTGATCTTTATTAATCACTTTGTACTTCGATTGATCTAGGAACTGAGCAAACTGTGTGAACAATGGCCAATGTTTTCCCAAAAGTAATTGTAACATAACTCTTGCTGTTTCCATATCCATACTTCTTTGATCTTTGTCCTAAAATATAATAATATTAATACTGCTTACAAATATACAGACATCCCTCAAATAACACAGTACTTGAATTATGAAGAATTTTGAATAACACAGAAAAGTATGATTTTGAATAACATGAAATGAATTGTGCATGTTATTTGAAGGTTACCTGTGTACATCTAAATAAAAATGTTTGCATATACAAGACATAATACTTACTCTAGCAAAATCATAAGCATATCTGTAAATTCCCTTAAATGTATGTGGATCATTTAACTGATTCCTTAGGTACTCAAGTTTTTGTTGTATTTTACTAATAGAATCACACTGTAATTCCGAAAGGCCTTTTAACCATTCGCTTAGTGTGAAGAAACCCATTTGTCGGGCATTCATTTTATATGCAAGAACAAGCATCACTACATTTTCAGGTTCTACACCAATGTCTTCACAAAACTTTTCCATTCCTTCAGGTCCAAGAGTATCTGAATCATCAGGTGTTGTGTATTCTCTAAACCATGTGATACAACGTTTTTGGGAAAAGGATGAAGCACTTGAAACATCTTCTGTTTTTGTATAACGTCTTGCACTGGAAAAAAGAAATATAATGTTAACAATATTCAATATAAAAGAAAGTTATCAGTTAAGTTTTAAAATGTCTTTATAGTTTACTCTTATGCTTCATATTAGATTCTAAAAGTATATATCATATGAAAAATACAAAATTATTATTATATAATTCCTATGCTCTTCTACAATTTACAAATAACTAAAATAATATTCAATTCAAGTTACAATAGGAAATGATATTAGTTAATATAATAAAACATTGAAATGCATTGAATTCAAGTTTGTAATATTATTGATATACATATATAATACAAATTTGAAATGTTGTAGTATAATTTACCTAGATGTATGTCTAAGTCTTTTTGATGGATGCCTTGGTATACCCTCCTCATGGGCACTAGGTGACATTTCTATAGACGTATGATGATTTGTGCTAGAGGGTGCTCTACGCTTGCTGCGTGGCATCCCTCTTTTAAC